AGATTTTTTTTTTAATTTCTGTTTCGCTTTTTATTGAACAAACAAAACTTCAAAGCAAAACAGGAAAATAAGTGCCAGGACAGACACAAATGCTTCCAAATAGTTACATACAAATATGAATCTAAATATAGTAAACATTGGTGTTTATGCGTCTACCTAGAGTGAACACCCTTAAAGAAGCATTGTTAGTATGGGAATGGAACCACGGTTCAGATAGGAACAAATGTTGAGACTCTGGAAAGAGTGCAGAGAAGAGCAACAAGAATGATAAAGGGATTGGAGGCTATAACATACAAAGAGTGGTTACAGGAATTGGGTATGTCTAGTCCAGGAGCGTCAAACTCGATTTCATTGAGGGCCACATAAGGAGTGAGCTCCCGTTACTTGTCACAGCTTCTGCCAACCTAGCAGTTCGAAAGCACGTAAAAATGCAAATAGAAAAATAGGGACCACCTTTGGTGGGAAGGTAACAGTGTTCCGTGCTCCTTCGATGTTTAGTCATGCCAGCCACCTGACCATGGAGACGTCTTCGGACAGCGCTGGCTCTTCGGCTTTGGAACAGAGATGAGCACCACCCCCTAGAGTTGGGAACGACTAGCATATATGATCATGGGGAACCTTTACCTTTATCTCCTGCTCAAACAAGGGGGATGATATAGAAGACCTCCAAGATCCTTTCCAACTCTATTATTCTAGGTTTCAAATGTGCTCTTGCTTGTAAAGTTGTTCAAACTTGTTTGCTTTTAAGTTTTGACACTGAGTTTTTATGCCTTACCTCGTGCTGTGAATAGGCCTAGATTTGGGTATTCCTAGCTAAGTTGGTCCAAGCAATCATCAGATAAATTGGCTTATTCCTTGTGTCAGGAAGGTATTTTTTTTCTTGATTACTAAAGTCACGGATGTGTGAAAAGTAGGCCATAGGTTGAAGGCCATGTGCCCCTTCCATCTGCAAATTAGGCCTGCAGACGCCGCTGAGCATTCCCAGTAATTTGCTGCCCTGTTAAATGACTACGAAGCAGTCATTAAACTCCGAAGTCCTTGGATCCTGCCAAAAGAGAGATTGAATTATTTATGACAGAAGCAGCTATCAATAGTAATTACAGCACATCCTTGCACAAATCCAGATTTTTTTATTTCAAGAATAAGACCAGGCTGACAGGGGTCAGGGGGTCAAACTCACTCAGATAAGAGCCCCCCCTCAAAGGCAAAATCCGTATTTGAACACAGAATCTGTATTGTCCGCATTAAACTCTTTAGGTATTCAAATGGCTATTTATTTCTTTAAGACTATGTTTGCCTCTATTAAAATCATTGAAGGAACTTTTTAATATGATCACTTTTCCTTCTTTAATCCAATAGGATGATTTGAAGCAGAAGAGCAACTTCACACACCCCTTTTTTGTGGGCCTAAACATGGAGTTTTCAAAATGTCATTTTTAATAAATGCATTTTTATTTTGAACATGGATTAGCATGAGGTGACATAAAACTGCTGTTTTTCCTAGACTATGGCAAAAGATGTGTTCTCTTTACTGAAATATTCTTCTTTCAATTTTGAATAATTTTGAGTTTGTTAGGATCTTAGAATAAGATGGCCATGAACCACTGAAAATCCTTCTTTTTCCTCACTAGAAAGAGAAAGACCTACCCATTGGGGGGCATTGATTATTACCGTATTTTTCAGAGTATAAGACGCACCTTTTTCCCTCAAAAAAGAGGCTGAAAATCTGGGTGTGTCATACACTGAATACAGCATTTTTTTGCCTCCTGAAACCCTGGGCCGTTTTTTGCTCAAATTTGTTCTCCCCCCCAATGGG